TCGACCGCATGGAGCCGCGGCGGCCCGCAGCCAGGCGGACACCTCGCGAGAACTGGCCGCGGGCCCGGCGGAATCTCGCGAGAGCTCCCGGGGAGGGAGGCCCGGGAGCGGGGGCCGCCGGCCGGGCTGGCCTGCGGGGAGGTGCCGTCGTCTCTCGTGGCGGGAGAGGCGCTTTCAGGAACCCCAGAGGGTGCCCAGTGTGCCCGTGGGGAGGGCAGGGCAGAGAAGCGTGTCCATTTCCCTCCTCTCGTGGCCCCGACCTAAGCCCACGGGTGCCTTGTAGCCCTGGCGGGGGCCGCCCCTTGCCCTGGCCTTGCGTCTCCCTCTTGCAGAAGGATGGGGCACCCAGAGGCTTAGGATGCAGGGTCTGAAAGCTAGCCAGGCCCTGGAGAGAAAACAGGGTGGGAAAAGGGAAAAGAGGCCGTTACTCGTTACTTGCTCGTGCATCTCGTGTCTGCGGGGAGTTTCTGTCAGAACAGTGCCTACAGCCAGGCAATGCACAACCAGACCTCATGAAAGCGAGAACAATACTCAGTTTACTTAGAACCAGAGTGAAAATCAAGAATGTCAGAATTACCCAGAAAGGCACCGAGTGGTATCGAGGAAGCAGAGCCCAGGCAAGAGCAGGACTGGAATAGGACAGGTGCTGGGAAGTGCAAGAGACTAGGGCATGGCAGGAGCTGCTGACAAAGGCAAGAATTTGGACAGAGCAAGAAGAAAAATTAGGAGAGAGAAACTTCCCCTAAAGTCCTGTCTGAGATACATGCACATCATCAACTAGCTCACAAGCTCTAACCTAATTGTAGCTACCTAAAGGGCTGGGAGACAAGCCAAGTTGTATCAGGAATTCCTCTGTTGGCATACATTTCTTTCTATGTAGCTTTTAATGCCAATAAATGAAAGCCAGCAACAGGCAGACAAAAACCCTCCAGCAGATACCTGCCGAGGCAGTGTCATGATACAACAACCGTTCTCACTATTCATTCGTTTCTCCACACTCCTACCACTCTGCCCAGCTGATGACAGTAACACAGCAGCAATTCATTGTGAACCTGAGAACTGATCAGATACAGAAAAGATTTTTAAATGCTGGACCAGTTCCCTGATTTGATTCACAACATAACCACACAAGCATTTGTATTAGCACAACTGAGGAAGTAGCACAGGGTTAAGAAGATTCCTACAGACAGGGTAGGAATACTGTAAGCCAGTATTGTCATCAGAGGTGACATACCATCAGATCATAACTGAAGAGTGCAGGATAAAATACCAACTTTTATCAGTATTTTAAACTTTTGTCAATGAAAATAGTAGTAGCAGAAAAAAGGAAACAACCCAAGTCTTATATCCATGCCTGACATCAGACAAAAGGCCTGATTTGCTAGATTTTTTTGCCAACTTCCATGTAGAAATCGCCATGGTGTCTCACTAGAAAACTAGATTTACTTATGCTGGATTTTAAAAAAAGAAAAACAGATAATATTATAAAGAAAAAGGAGTTCAGCTCTTTGAGACTCTGTTGGCAATAGCCTTCTCGCTACTCTGTGTGCAGCAACAAGCCTTTGCTGTCACTTTATCCATGAGATGGTCTTCTTGGTTACAATTGTTCAGGATACATAAGCACAGATATAAAAATAGCTACCAAAAGATCCTTTAAAGCATGGGACTTGCCTAATAAAGTAGCTGTTGAGACGCACTTCTTATAGAGTCTTAACTGGCCAGAGTCCCCTAGCATCCTCAGGAAAAATCTTCAGTTTACCTTAAACATAAGAAGTCACCTGAAACACACACAAACTACCAGATAGGAAAAGAAAACCTTCTGTATGAACTTCTTAGTGAATGCACTGAAGGAAAGAGACCCAATACTGGCCAGATGCATACACTTCCCCAGCGATTCATTTTTCCCATACTCTGTTTGGATAAAGACTTTTCCACTTAAGACTTATGGGTCATCCCATGTCTTTCAGGCAAACATGCAACTCTTGGTGAAGTGCTTTAGAATGAGAAAATAAAAAAAGTTTTCTTCACCTTACTTCCTAATGTCCAAGAAAATATAGGATTGGTATTGGAATTCTGCACTGGACACATACTCCAATTCATATGTTCAAACATACAGAATGGTAACTTGAGCATCCATAATTCCCACTGTAGAGCCACAGAAAAATTCCTGCCTTCCCTGGGACAGACCCAGACTTCTCTACAATACTGTGTTGGTGTTCATAGGAAAGCAAGGGGATCTCTTCGACCCAAACAGATTTCAGCAGTGAGAGCATGTACAATTGCTGTTAAGACAGACTCTTCCCCTCACTTTTCCTCACTCAATACCCTTGAATTTTAAAGTATATATGTGTCTAGAACTTGAGTTCATGTTCAGCAACGCACAGACATGGAAAACAGCCAATACGCTGGATTCAAACTATGTACATGGCCTGCACTGATGCAGTGAAGTCTCCCTGAGCCAGATGGGGATTCATGAAAGCACTATAAAGAAAAAGAACAAACACATGATAGGTCACAGCAAAAAAAGTCTGTCTGGGCAGCACAATAAAGGAAAAAGGAAAATTAGCATTTTGATTTACCAGCAGTTATCTCAGATTGTCTAATGAGAATCCTCAGATAAATGAAGGCTTTCCCATCTAGTGATTTTTTTCTAAGTAGTGGTCTCTTCTCTCTGTATATTCCTTAGGATTCAGAACCTGGCCCCTGAGAACTCAATGACCCATGAAACAGAGGCAGTGCGATGAGAAGTGGTAGTTTATATTTTCCAGTTTATGCAAAACTATACAATTTAAAAAAAAACCACCCAACACTCAAAAGTTTACAGTATCAGCCCATCCTTTGATATCCATTCATCAGCAAAATTAAAAGTAAACATTGTCTTAAAATTAAAAGGACCATTAATCAAGAAAGATGGATGGCTGGAAAGCAAAAATGACAGCAAAGTTTCAATACACATACTTGGATTCATCCTTTGTCTCCTCTTATTTACATAAAGTACCAAAAAAGAGTATAGGAAATATTTAATGAATCGCACTAATAGGTCAGGTGTTTTTATACCTTGCCCCAAGAAAGTGGATGAAAATTATATCACAATAACCGAATGGATATATTTTATGCTAAAAGTATAATTGAAAATACATGTTTAAATGTTAACACAGATGTACTAAGATACAGTATAGGAATTACATTTTAGACTAATGATTTCATTTTGCTGACTAAAATAAAAGTAATTTTGGTATTTTTGAAAAATCTCTGTCCATGGAAGAAGTACTAGTTTTGAGTTCTGAAGTACTTCACACTGAAGTCTGGACTGCTAAACTTCAGGAAATCTGTTCTAAACATTAACTGTCAAAATTTAGCTGGAAGTCACAGAAGAAAGTATTATGACAGCTTGTAGCATTACGTGTTTAATTTTAAGCTCCACACAATGACATACGTGGAACAGGCAAGAAGAGAAGGGAAGGGAAAAATTTACACAAAATACGTTCAACATTCATGCTAAGGCGGCAAACAGACCTGTCCTGTTTAGTGGATGGACAAATCACTTCTGTTTCAGAGTTTTACTACTTCATTTTTCAGTGAACCAATGACATTTAAAAATACCACGTGTAAAAACTGTGTATGTGTATTATTCAGTTAATCCTTTGCACTGACAAAGCAACCATGTGTAAAGAGAATGACTGTGGTCCCTGCAGTAGTACACTGTGGCTTACAACTTTATTATAACAGTAATTCCAGGGAAGACTGAATTATCTTAATGTTTACGCCATTCACGTTTGTTGTCTAGTCAGCTTACCAGAAACAATTCTTTAAATGATCTGCCAGTTATACAACATAGAGTGATAAGGAACAGAAATTAATAACTAGGAGAAAGTATAACAGAGTAACATGCTTTGTCATTGATTCGATGTATGCCAAATTAAGAGTCAAATTATGGAAAGCCGCTGAAATTGCTCCTTAAAGGAATACATATTTATAAAGTAGTAAGTATAAAACTTCACGGATGTTTTTGGTCTATTTACTAAGAAAGTATTCCTCACAGACAGGATGAAAACTCAGAAGCCACAATACTACTATTTTAGACTGGCTATCCAATTTAGCAACATTGTAAACAATTCCATGTTAAGTACTATTTTTAAACCTTCACAGTCTTAACTGATGGCAGACACATGGATCAGTAAACAGTTTTTAAAAAAAAAAGTGAATTTATTTTTTACTTCATCATGTATGATTAATTTTGTAGAAACAGTCCGTCATGTATACTTTTTAATTATCCTTAAGGCAAGCATTTCTTCTCTGGTGTTAAGTACAGAGTAGTAGTTTGAATTCATATAAAAATAGCAAATTCTTGAAAGTATAATACCATAACAAAAATGCTAAAACAAACGTATTACACTTAGACAAAATGAGCGCTCTACCAGCATTTATGGTCACGTACTGTGATCTGACATCGATGTTTCTAACATCATATCACTTTCATTCATTTCAATCTCAAATGTTTCTTCCAATGGGCGACTGGTATCTGTACTTTTCCTTTGATGTGATGTCTCTAACGTTACTATGCCACTTTCATCCAGAGTTTGTCTTTCTATATCGAATTCTCTGAAATCCCAGGGAGGTGAAATTATGTTCTTTAATGTCTTCATTGTGTGTACATCAAAGTCGTAACATCTTAATTTGTCTTTGATTTCTGTTCCTAGGAAAACAGTCAAACCATTAGTTTATTCCAAGTGAACACTCACATAAATGCATCTCGAGGAAACTATCATCCAGAAACTACTATGATTCCCTGCTTTCAGACTGACAGGGAGCTGTCGCTGCTTAATGACATAAGTTGAAAAAAAACCCACTGTAGCCTCCTTTTTGAAAAAAAAACCCAAAACAAAACAGTGTTAAGAAAGCCAACTCAGAATCAAAAGTCTGTTATTAGAAGTAATTGCCAGTTCCCAATTCTCCAAGAGGCATTTTTGTTAAGTTACATAAAGCATGGTTTGCATTAATGCATATCACACAGCTGGCATGGTTCTTCCAGATGTATTAACCGACTACATATGGAACAAGACAATATTGAGAAGAAACATCTGCTTCAATTTGTGCAAAAAATCTGCAGGAAAAGCAATAAAGCACACAGATGGCTCTTACTGGATTCAACCTCTTTAACATGCTTGACAGGACATCAACTCTGTTCATTACAGATAAATCATTAAGTTCAACGAAACAGAAATGTGTCACTAATGGTTTTTGGGGGGGAAGAAAGCTTTCAAATAATATTTCAAACTATAGTGATATAATGTATTACTGTTATGAATCACTTTTTTCTTTTTTTTTAACCATATGTAAAGCTCTATTTTTGGAGGCAGAAGAATTTATCCTGTCTCCACAGAGCAGAGTTTTGATATGCTGAAAATGCCTTGCACATAAAGCTCTACAGCAGCATTAGCTGAAATCAAGTCCTCTGATTTTCTAACTCCGTATTTCTATTTTATTTTTTCCCCATTCCCTCTGGTTTCTAAGCTTGAAAATGTTGTTTTGCCACAAATCAATATTTTCTATAAGAGAAACCATCACCAGCTCCAATGGCAAAGTGTTTCCCTTCTTTATACTGGTTAAGAATTTACTGTCATGATGCCTACAAAAAACAGTGTTCATCTACAACTGCTGGAAAGTTCTAACTCACTTAGCCATTGAAAAAAAAAAAAAACAACAAAACCAAACCAAACCCATACTCTACTTTGTAAGTTAACTAGGTAATAGAAGACAGTCTTTCTTGATGTAAGAATAAGAGTCCTCTCAAAGGACGTGATGACTTTAAGAGCCAAATAAGTGAAAGACTTACCAATGTAGGCTTCAGAATCACCAATATACATTTCTATGCAATGTCCAAGCATCGTGACTGAAAATGTGTCATCCCTCCTAAGACCAAGGGCCTATTAAAAAAAAACAGTAAAAAGTATTCAGTAACAAATAAAACCATTTACATCTTAAGTCCATGATGGTTCCGAGTTTGTTGTTTTGTTGCTCAACAATGCTATCAGAATAAAGTCTTCACCATAAAAGCAAAAGATTGCACAACCAAAATAATACTGTCATATAAACTGGCTGAAGTAGTAAGCAAGCAAAGCAGAAAAACATAACCAGAAAAGGATATTTATACAGAGGGTCATTCATGAAGTATAACATGTGTTGCACTTACTCTAAGGTTTCTACTTCAAGACATAGGTTGGAAGTATTTTAAAGTATTTCAATTGCATGACAACTTTATGTACATAAAATGTATATGACAGTTATGATATTCAATTCATTTATAACAAAAAAGGATCCAAGTACTACGTTTCCCAAAGTAGCCATTTTTAACTTAATCAATAGAAAAATTAAAGAGGGTTTTTCACAAACATTTAAGAATATAAAATAAAAAAAACAATTTGGAGGCTGGATAAAACGCTGGTTCTCTGTTCCAAAACCAAAACAGAATTAAACAGTAAATAACAGAGTCTGTGACCAGCCAGTTACATACCGTATGAAAATAGTCGATTGCGCTTTCAAAATTGCCCATTAGACTGTGTATGTAGCCAATGGCAGAGTAAGTAGAAGCATTTTGAGGAATCAGTACTAGAGCCTGGCGATGGTATTCCAGTGCTTCTTCATATTTCCTGTTAGGGTTAAATACAGAAGATCTATCATTAAGCTTCAGGGTAAAAGGTGTTTTCCTTATCTCAGTGGCACACAATCCTCCAAGAACTTAAAAATTATTGCTTCATACTCTGAGCATAAGAGAACGCACAAAAGACTTGAGGATATTGACAGTTTTCTTCCTCAGTGTAACTGAAAAATCATTGTTCCCCTTATGTAGCACAAGAGCTGCCTGTAGCTAGGCCCCATTTGGAGATGATCTTAGCAATTTGACATGGTAAATTGCTTTAGATGTTTAATGCTGCTCATGGTAAAATTAGCTTTCTTTCTGCAGCTTTCATTTCCCTCCCCAGGGGAGCGAAGGAGCAATATGAGACTAAATCACTCATTGTTCAAAATCAGAAAAGGTCTCTGGGCAGAAATTTCACAACCCTTAAGTGCTACATACACTGGTACTTTTGTTACTTCCATTTTGATACCATCTATACCAGAAAAGAAGATTTACACATATCCTTATTTTCTTTCAGATATCAGCCATCCTTTCTTTGAAAATTTTCCATTAATTAGACTGCTTAATTGCACTGGTTATTTTATAAAACAAGGATTAAATGTACATTATGGCATTACGTTGAGAAATTAAATTGTCCCATTTGACATCCTAGTACCAAGTTGTTAAAAATAAAGGTAGCAATTGTCTATTCAGAAGAAATGTTAATGTCTAGAGTTATAATGAAATTATGCAAACAGCAACACATGAAGTTGTTAGAGGGCATTAAGTAACAACTGAGGCAGAAAAGTTATGCAACACTTTGCTTGCTGCACAAAATTTTCACATGATTTGAATTTTATTTTCACTCATTTACTTGTCCAATTAACTACCACTGTATTTTAATATGCTGCTTTCAAATTTCAACCACATGCCAGACATACATCCAGTAAGTTTTCTCATAATAGCAATAGCATGTGTAATGAACACCAGTAAATTTATTACAGAATTTTTTAAGTTATCAAAGCATAGTACAGCTGCCTAAATTCTCAACTTGATTTTCTTGAAAGATGGTTTACAAGAATGTAGAAATACATTAGGTTGGATTTCTGAACCTGAACAAATAATAGAATGCAAGTTGCCCTAATTGTGACGCAAGCAGTTACTAATTTATTGTAGAAATTAAAAAGAGACAAAAGGAGTTATAACTGAAACAAGTATTTGGAAAAAACCTGCAATTACACTCATGAACAGATTCCAGAAGCAGTGCCTTTTGTTTGATCTTGGCAGAAGGGGTAACTATTATACACCCGTATTTCCTAATGACAATGAAGACTAACTGGCAATTCAAGCACAAAGCAATTACTACCAAAGCCAAAGCAGAAATACAACTTTTATCTACCACAATCACATTCTCATTAACAGCTTTGAGACAAAAATTACAGTATACAACAACTGGAAAATTAACAACATGATACTAAAAAAAAAAAAAGAAGATATAGTACTGATTAAACAAAACACTGGTTAAATCAGATTAAGGTAATTAATGAGAAAATATTTCTTTATGTTAAAACTGTTAAAGCTTGCATAGGTACTGTGCACTTCATTTTTCTCTTCCTAGAACAGAAATATGGAATATGAAATATTTCTGTTCTCAAAAAACATAAAGTACTATTTTATTGCTTGTTAATGTCATTGAATATTTCACTTCAATAAACAAAACCATAAGCACGGATCCATGTAATTAATCAGCACAGAACCACCTTTATGTTAATTAATCAGTGGACATATTCAAGTATGTCAGGACTGGGACAGCAGCCAGTTAGAATTCAGACGCATACAAGGATCTAGAAGCCTGTAACAAAATTTCTATCTATTAAGAATCAATAGTTAAGGAAAGGCTTTTATATTAAATACTTTAACTTGAGTGTAGTAAATTGTATATATTGGGTAAGTAATGTATTTATGTTCACAAGCTGATTTAGGGAATCTTGGTTTTATAAGGTACTTCTACTCTGCTCTCATGTGGTAATATAATCTTGATATAAATGAGAAGTAGGCTTAGATAAAACACATTTGTGCAGTATTCCAGATAAATGTAGCTCCAGTACTCTCTGCTTACTTGAGTTTTCTGCAGACATGTCCTAAGTTATTCAGTAAAGGCTCCCACTTATCAACTGTCACCTGCAAAATAATGCAACAATTCAAATAACTGCAGCTTCCAGATTGTATCTGAATTTGGTCTACTTTAAAAAAAAAAACAACCCAAACCCAAATACAAATGAACAAGACAATTCATTCATGACCAATAAAAACATTTTCAGTTATTTTCAAAACACATATTTAACCTCAAAATGTGTATTCAATTACTCATTTTATTAATCTTTCTATTCCCCAAACCCAATTAGATTTCTTTAAAAGGGTCAGTGATATTAAAACTTGGATGTAAACCAAATTTTGTTTTCAACTTAACTAAAGAAAAATCATGCCAAGTCTCTCAGCCTAGGAGCACTGCATACCCCAAATTAAGTATTTGTAAAATAATCATAAATACTGAACATCTTTTTACTGTCTTCTCCATAGTCTAACTTCATCTGCTCTAAATAAATTAGCTCATTTACAAAGCACACAGAAGACAATCTGAGTCGTTAAAACACTTTTTGCTGAAATCAAAAATCATTTGAACTTGATCACATTATGAATTTGCAATTTATAACAATGTAGGAGTATCTCTGTATCTCTAGTTCTTTTAGGTGTTTCCCAATCTAATTCTAAATTTCCATTTGTGTGTTTATAGGTATGCTGATATTTAGTACTTCAAGAAACAAAAATGCCACACATAAAAGAATTTAGGCATATGCATAAATTTAAACTTGATCTACAAAAGTTGCAACATTTGCATGAACAACAATACAGCTTTAATAAAAACAGAACAACCCTATTTGTATACTGGTAAGTATTAGTGTGCACATTAGTATCTGTGCAGTTTGTTTTTGTAAACGTGTGTCTTGTCCACATGAAGATTATAGTTTTTTCAGCACTTTCCACTTTCTAGAAAGTTTATTATGCTCTGGAAGCAATTTCACTATCTTGACAGGAGATGGTTTGTTAACAGTTATAGTACCATGACAAGATAATGACATGCAAATAAAATAACTCGTACTACCAATAGGTACAAACTCATTTCTGTGTTGCAGTGTTTGAGGAATCAGGGTTGTAATGGGTTGACTTTTGATTCACAAAAGCACCTGAACTGCGAGCATATTTCCGACAAACTTTTTGCCAGTGATTATTTTGATTCCGTTCAGGAAGTTAGTTAAGCATCCTTAGCCCACACAGTGTCTCTATCTGGTAGGAAGAAAACAAATCCATACCTACAGGATTATATCCAAACAAAAGTGAAAGTCATTCAAGAAATGACTAGCACTTAAGATGGCAGAAACCAGGCAGAAACCTGGTGAAGCATGTGTACCCAGTTCCTCCCCCAGATCAAGAATCAAGATGCAAAGACTGAAAAGGAGACCTACATTTCACTCTCCAGTAAACACTTATTTTCTTTTACTTTCATATAGAAACATACTTTTTGCATTTTCCTGTAGCACTGAAGATAATGAGTGATGATTCTCATGTAAAAACTCAGCATACTCAATTACAAGTAGATGGTTCAAGTTTTAAAGTCAAATTTATCACAGAATCATTCAGGTTGGAAAAGACCCTTGGGATCACTGAGTCCAGCCATCAGCCCTACACTACAAAGTTCTCCCCTACACCATATCCCCCAGAATCTCATCTAAAAGACCCTTAAACACATCCAGGGATGGTGACTCCAGCACCTCCCTGGGCAGCCTATTCCACTGCCTGACCACTCTTTCTGTGAAAAATTTTTTCCTAATGTCCAGTCTGAACCTCCCCTGTTGCAGTTTAAAGCCATTCCCTCTTATTCTGTCACTAATCACCTGTGAGAAGAGATCAGCACCAAGCTCTCTACAATGACCTTTCAGGTAGCTGTAGAGAGTGATGAGGTCTCCCCTCAGCCTTCTCCTCCTCAAACTGAACAGTCCCAGCTCCCTCAATCTCTCCTCATAGGATTTGTTCTCCAGGCCCTTCACCCGCTTTGTGGCCCTCCTCTGCACTCGCTCCAGCACCTTGGTATCTCTCTCGTATTGAGGTCCCCAAAACTGGACACAATACTCCAGGTGAGGCCTCACCAGTGCAGAGTACAGGGGGACTATCAAATTATTATTTGATTCTATCTTAAAATAAGCACAACATATTTTGTCACAAGATAGTAGTACAGAATCTCATGGAATTTTATATATTTATGATCATATTATTATTATTTACATATTATGATGGACTTTTACATATTTATGATGCTTTTAGGAAAAATACCTCATTTCCAATAGCTTTGATTTTCTCCAGTGCATCAAGAAACCACTTTTCTGCAGTTTTCCAGCTAAGAATTGAGGGGGTGGGAGGAAAGAAAAGTAAATTAGTGAAGAGTTTTCATTAGCAGTATGAGAAAACCCTATTACAAGGAACAGTTCTTTGACATTATTTCATCGTATGAGTGAAATTACGTGTAAAACCATCATTTACATTTGGCTATATTTTTCATGTAGTCCTAAGAGCTAACAAGATGAAGTTAAAACAGAAGCAAACCAAGAACATTCGCTAAACAGTTATTATATCTGGATTTTTTTTCAGAACATATTTGGAACCCCTTAAGCAGACAAAACGTTTTGCTGTACAAAATTTTATAGCATGTGTGCAAGACAGATGCCTTTTCAAGGCATGCAACTACCCAGTGACAGGCACACACAAGATAATAATTGATCTTTGCATGTTCCTCAAGCATTAAATTCTTTCCTCATTCAATCTTAAGCAATATGGAAAGCAAGGGTTTAGGATAAATGCCATCTAAACTAGAACTAAAAGAAATTTTGTATTCTGTATTTCAATGTAAGTACTTTAGTAGATATAATGGCATGTTACACTTCAGAATAATCCATCTTTAGGATTGTATTTATTCCTATTTTGCAAGCTTACTCTCCATTTTGAAATGCAACCACTCCAACTTCATGCATAACAAAAGGATCTTCAGGTGCAATGCTTAAAGCTTGGCTGAAAAACCTTTCAGCTAATTTTGAGTTGTTGGTCAAACCATATTCCAGTCCAATATAGAGCATCGGCAAATGACATCTATGAAAAACAAAAAAAACCCAAACACTCACTTAGCAGGAATGGTACCACAAACTATAAAAAAATGCCAACTGTATTTGCATATGTTTACATACATCCAAGTAAAAGATTATTTAAATGGACTATTAACCTAAGGGGCGGTTTAAAAGACTTCACGTATTTGTTAGTTACTGACAAGCATTTGAACTCCAGTACATACCTGTAACTTGCTTTGGAATTACATGTATTTTCTCAGTGCTTAAGTTAGTTCTGAGGATTTTTGTTTTTCTTGTTTCCTTCGTACATTTAATTTACAAATGGCATAGGGAGGTAATAATTAAAGGGATTACATTTACCAATAATGACAATCAAATACCATAGTTTTATATGCAATACGACATGATTAGTCCACTACTCATTTTAAAACCTTCTCCACAGCATGAAAGAGCTGTTCAAGGTATTACTATACAGCAGTTTATGGCCTGGTATGACAAACATGACTCACAAATTTCAGAGAACTTTCAGATAGGACACAGATTACCTAAATATAAATCTTTTGAACTTATAAGGTCCCAACAGTAATCACAAATAATGCAGTTAAAGGCAGATGATTAAATTATCCTCCCAGATAATTTCTGCAAATGTATTCCTACTGTTTGAAGTGACACAGGTCAGTATTCTACACTATTTATGGATTAATTTTAGATTTTCTGAATATGACATTTTTGGCATACCCTTTCATGAGCTGTGCAGCTGTGAAGTATGCAGCCATTGCTTGGTCATGCTCACTCTCAACTGCAAATGAATGTCCATATGCTATCCACGCAGGTCCGTAGGTTCTCTCAAGTGTAGTAGCTTTGCTAAAAACAAAAAATGAAATTTCATCTGCTTCAGGTAACTACTTACATAGCAATGCTATGCCACATAGTTAGGTATTTATTAACATAATTCTGTAATGACCAGTGGTAAACAAAGCTCACTTTAGAAGTTAAAAAAACTATTTAGGATTTAAAAGTATTGCTCCTTTTCAAGAAATCGTATTATTTCTGTTGCTGTTCATGGACAGCAGGAATTATTTGGTATTACTGAACATAATAATACAATAGGTGAATTGGGCAAAATACAGAAAAAATTAGTAGTGACTCAATGTATTACAAAATTCTAGCTATAAATTTCAAAATAAATACATTACAGCAAATGTAAGTTTCAAACAGGATATGAAAATACCAAACGAACACTTAGGTTGAACTGTGCATTGCAATTTCGCCATGTAACTGTACTAGCCTTAATGAAGACAAGAGTATTTATTTGTCACAGTGCAAAGTTGCCATGCATCAGAGAAATATGTAAAACATCAATCAGCTGAAGACTGCAACCTGGAGTCTTTACAGAAAGACAGACTTGACAGGAACAGTAGAAAGCTCTGTAGGTGATTTTCTCAGTCTGAAGGCAAGGGCATCAGTAAGTAAAGAGATCATGACAGATGTGCCCAATCTTTTCTTAAAAGCTTCTGACATGGAAATGCTACATGTTCCACATCTATTCTATTGCTTAACTATCCTTAAACATTTCATTCCTTTCTAACATTTAATCTAAATCTTATTTGTCACAGTTAAACTCATCATTTCTCATCAAAGATCCTAGAGAACACTTTGTTCTCTGTCTCCTGGGCAAAACTTCACACACTCGAACATTTCCACCTTCCACCCTACATCCTAGACAGCTTCAATCACTTCAAAACCTTTCCTAATTGACCACCTTCTCCAGAATCTTGTTTACTGCCTTCTCTTGAATACAAATGTCTCACATCCATCTTGAGCTCTCCACACATGTTGACTTGTCAACAGTGACACATTACAATATACCTTGGTTATTGTTATAAAAGATGGGATTATGTTCTATCACAAATGTTGTTTTCCTAATTGGTGCTGAGAAGAGGTAAAGCCTTTTGTAAGACCTGAATGATGCAGCTAGCTGCTTCTGAAGCAGCCAGAAGGATGCCTCCCTTACATGCTACCAGGCACTGCCCAGCTGTGCCTTCTATCCTGTTCAGCATGCCCCAGCATGATGTCCTGTGACTCCAGAACGATATGGGAGCTTGTGTTTTTACCAATACCTCTATATCTTTTTCTAAAAACTACTGTCTAGCCCACAGTTGTCCCTAGCCTTGTAATTACTGTCATTCTTCTCCAAGAAACATGAGCATTTTGTTACTATTTCACTTTTACCAGATCTTTTCTTTCCTCTTTGCCAGAACTACCCTGAATTCTGATGGTTTGTTTTTTTCCTAACACATCTCTAGACCCTTACTGGCTAGGGATGCTTGCAGATTTAATAAAGATATTCTTTATTTCACCACCAAAACAACATGTGTAATTCAGGACAGCTTCTTGAATAATTTCAAGATTCCAGTATACAAAAATACACTGGTACTTGTCAGGAATTTAAATAGTTTACTCATAATAACCAGGCATTTAAACAGTCTAAATTACTAACCCATTTTTATAGACAGTGTCTCTAAAGGTCTCGAAGAAAAATGAAAGCCTTACAGGTTGATTTAAGCCTTCTCAGTTTAAGCTTACAGCATGAAAACAAATACCTTACTTCACAGCAAGGTCCTGCTCCCCAGTGCTGATAATACACATACAGAAGACTTACAGCAAAGAGCATTGGGCTGACTAACCAACCTAAAAAGACCAAGGCTGCTTGTGCAAAGAAAGAACTAGACAGCCAAATGTCAGCATTTTCTATTCAACTCTTCCCTTTAAGATATGAAACCTGAACCTGGGAGAATGCCTTAAACTAAGAACTGAGGCTTGATTACCTAGCTGTAGTTAGCTGTAGTTAGCTTGGCAGCCACGAGCAAATGCAGGGACTACACCTGCCTGTAACAGGAAAGTAACCGAAAGAGATTCCACATGAGTCTCTGTCATTTGTAAATCTCATCGATGGATGAGGTCTGAATTGCTATATCAAAAAAAGGGTGTCAACAAAAAGGAATATTTTAATAGTAACCAGTTTATTGAGGCTTCCATTTACTTTATGAGCTTCCAAACAACGATGAACATTAAATATTTATTTAGCAAGTAAGGAGCAGATTCACTAAAGAAAATCAGGGAAAAAAAAAAAATTACCTGAGATATCTTCTGGCATGTTCATTTTTGTGGCCAACCATGAGATAGTAGCATCCTACTGCAAACCACGACACCTACACATTAAAATCAGAATAGCGTATTATTAGATATATCACACAGATTTTAGTGAGCCATCACCACAGATGATGCAAAACAGAGGAACATATTATAATTAGAGACGTTAGAAGCATTTTCACTGAAATCACAGCTTTTTGAATTCTTTGATATTACAGACAAGCTAGAACTGCTGGCATGTACGTTTCTAACTGGGTTTATTCAGCCTCATGAAGGCAGAGCTAAGTGGAAAGCTTATTGCTGTCTTCAATTATCTAATGGTAGGGAATACAGGGGACAGAGCCAGGCTCTTCTCAGATGTGCAGTGATAGGATGGGAGGCAATAGGTACAAGTTGCAACACAGAAAACTCAGACTGAGTAAAAGGAAAACAATTTTAACTATGAAGGTGATCGAGTATTGGAAAAGGTTTCCCAGAGAAGTATATACATTTATTACTGTAGCATTTGTTTTAAATTATTATTTAAAGTTAATAGCTCACACTGAACATATTTTGCAGGTACTTTGTTTTAAGAAAATAAATTTGGTATAAGGAAATTACAATGCATAGAAAATAAAAGGAGCAAACCATTTTTACTAGCTTCATCCAGAAAGAGATTTTGAATTCTGTTGCTCAAACTGACTCTTACATTACAATCTTTACATGCTTTCACCTAGAAAAAAACTTCCTGGTAATAAAGATTTAGAACAACTTACAGGATTATTTGGGTACAAGTCCACCAGTTTGTGAGAAAGATAGAAAAGCTCTACATAGTGGGAATAAACAAGAAAAGAAAATTAAAACATGCTGAAACATTCAAATGGTTCAAGCCCTTTTTTCTATACAAAATATCCAGAACGTTTAATGTTATCAATGCACAAGTAAACAAAAATGTTTTCTGTTCAGTGGTAATGCTTCAAACTACCTCAAAAGAGATTTGGTTTTGCAATTAACTAAAAAACCCATAACCTGTAAGTCTACACAGCACATAATTATCAGTTATACATCCTATCCCTTAAGAATTCTGCAACAACTTAGGTCGTTAACATACATTAAAATAAATGCTGGTAATATTACACTTGAATGTATCTTGTCAAGGTAAAACACTACCGAACTCCCTATGCCTAAAATGTATGACATACTGGCTAGATCAATTTCAAAGTAGAGTCCTGTGCATTAATATGCTGAAAATAGGACAAAAGCAAATAAATTATTATTTGGAATAATTCTAAGTGATTACTTTTCTAATAGTAATTCTAGTTATTACAATAACTTACTACAGATTTTTCAATAACAGCAGAAGTAGTCAGATACAGGATAATTATTGCCTATGCGACTTCAAAAGAAATAGCATTACAGTATACATAATTTCTATCTCCTCAGAGTACAGTTCTCTTAAATTAGTGAGTTTGTCCTGGTGTACTTGCATCAACTCTGGACTTCAGAAAAATCAAATATGAAAACTGTCTTACAAAAATATGAACTTATTTAGAAAATGCTTCTCAAAGCAGGCTTAGAAGAAACATCAGAGTATTGGTCACATTTTCAGATGCAGTAAACTGTAAATTAACTGAAAAGTACATTTACTAAACATTGAGAAGTATCAGTATACCTAATGACCTATTTGTGTACATACAATGGCCCATCCTTTGAGAGACTGCAAACCATGAGTTCCTTACTCCCCAATTGGTTTTAAAGACATTCAAGCTCCTCACTTGCTTTGGATGTTTACATGCAGTCTGAAATGACAGAAACCCATGCCAGCTGCAAGTAAGCTATTTCTGTAATTCCAACAAAGGTGCTGCATGATTATTAACTTGTTTTAACTAAAAAAAGGCCTTCAAAACAGCAAAAGCAAGGAAAGTCTAGACTTTTTTTCTAGTATGGAAAAAGCATGTCCACTGAAGCGTAAGCACTGCTGAAGAGTTCCCTCTAGTGTAAATTAATATATTTTACTTTGTTGTTGAGCAGAAGAAGTACACTTAGAAACTCTAGGAAGAGCACCTCAAAACAGAAACCAAACAACAGAAATGAAGCAGTGTAGCTCACTAACTTTCTGGGTACATAGTCCAGTGGTTAAACGACAGTGACACTCATCATCATGAATGAATAAAGACCCTGCACAACTACTCCCTGCTCCACCACTGTCAGCTCTGAAACTCCCTTCTTTTCCAGTTACCACTGTTTTCTTGAAACTGAAGGTAGGAGGAAAAATTTATATAATTTTTTAAATAGTATCTATAAGGGAGTTTCTTAGCATCCTTAACTCTTTTTTTCAAAATTGAAGCTTTACAATCTTCTTTTGACTCATATTAAAGGTTGTTTCTTACCATTTGCTTTATTAAGCTCCACAAGTGTCCCTATATGCACAGGTAAACAATTTGCATGGAAAGGATCTTTTTCCATTACTCTAAAACAAAAACAAAACCAAAAAAAAGTCTGCAACACACATTTCAAAACTTTTAATGTGTTATAAGCAAGTTGCTTTTATAGTGTGCAATGTTTTGGTTAATTACCACGTTAGGCACGGGAAAACTATTTGTGACTAGAAGGTAACTATTAACAGCATAATAAAGGCTCTCTTAAGACCAAAAAAATAACTACTGATTTAGCTGAACAGAAGAGGATAACAGTACATTCTTGCGAGCTGAATATACAATTAGAAATGCACATTTGTCTGAAAGTCACTTCAAATTTAACTAACAAACAGCAAGCAACATCTTTTCCATGTGTTTGACATCAGCTCTCAAGCAACAGTCCTCAGCTTTCTCAGCCTAACACTAAGCAGCGTGCCTCAGGGAATACCTGAGCTTAACACTAAGCAGTATGCCTCAGGAAGCGTATTTAGCTCAGTTTTTAATGTTTATTTCCTGTGGTGTTTAAGAAATGGAAGATGGTCTCACAGACAAGGGACTGCATGCAGGACATGGCTTGTAGGCATCTGTCCTTTTGGTAAGCACTGGCATTTGGTAAACTAAGAGAAAAAAGATGTCTTGAAATCTATTCACACCATCTCTTAAATCAGAAGTACAACACTATGACTCCGTTCTCTGAGAAGTACACCTTGAAACAGTTAAAAGTTTAGCTGGTATTTTAAATAGTTCAAAGTATTTAAAATGAAAAATATAAAAGAACATATAAACAAGTATATTAAATGGTCTCTTGAAGAGAGTCTAAACCTTTAAAATTATATGGATTTCTCAGACTCTCATTTCTAAGCTCTAGCATCTGTGATAGCCTCCTCCTTAGCAGACATTTAATTCTGCCACTTTCTGCTAGACAAGGTGTGGCAATTTTCAGAAACAAAGATGAAATATTATAATTCCTTTGAATTAATTGGAGTAATTTATTTTAAAAGGATCATGATTTTACTAAATAATCTTACTTATGGTTTAAGTTCACCATAACTGTCAGCATTCTCTACAGCCTTCCCAAAATTCTTGTCTGTACTAGGTTCCATGTGGGTTACACTGTGATGGACTGCTTCTGCTAAAAAAAGCTGTATTATTTAAAAAAAAGGAAAGAAAAACCCTTCTATTTTATACTACCAATATTTGGAGTCTATGCAGTACATACACAAAAATGCTGTTTTCTTAAAAAGGTATCTTTCTTGTCAAGCCAGCAGAAAAAATACCTCCAAAACCACGTGTTCACATTTACAGTAATTGAAAAGCAATCCACTGTCAGAAGACCCATCTGACAACTGAGCAGCAGTATGTGCCTGGGCTATGTTAACAGCTGTGGCACATCAAAATTAACATAACTTTTAATCAACCAGAGAAATCACACTTCCTAACTAACCAACTGATCCAAACCTGTTTGTTCTGAAAGTCAAACAAGTAGGTAGAGAACACATAAAACTGAAGGTACCAGAGTAAGAAGAGAATGGATGAAGAGAAGCGCAGCACGATGCTGATTAACTGCAGTTTTGCTTTGGATACTTCTGCTACATATCATAAAAATTATGTGTCTTGCCAGACACGAACTACATGTTTTAATACCTGAAACTTTGTATCCAATTATTATGTATGTCAATGCATTAAACAATGATATTTCCTCTAAGTCAAAGCATAATTATTATACTGCACCATATGAGAAAAAAAACCTTGAAGTTGCTTTGTATACTTACACTGAAGTAAGCTTGTAACACATTTTGAAGTCACAGTTATAATAATGTCTTTCAGCTAAGGATACTACCACATCCAGGTTTTCCTGAAGACCATCTACTGATTCAGGAATCAGTGTTTCACTGGGTTTATTATACTGAAAGACAAAAGAAGCAACATGCAAAACAACAACCAATCTAAAATCAGATGGTATAAGTATTAATGGTTTTAGCTCTAAAAGAATTATTTAAGAAGAATTAAGCTTCTTTAAATTCTTAAATTTTAAACCAAAAGTCCATAAAACACTTATTTGGTTAAAAGGTTCTCTATAATGTGCTTAAAAGCTCATTTAGAACATGAAAGATGCTTGCCAGCATCAATATCTTAAATACAGAGCTGTGGAAATGAATACTGAGCATTATCTAGTCAGCTTTCAGTGCTCTCGCATTATTCCAGACTAGTTTTTCCAAAGATAATGTTGCGATATCCCTATATTTTCAGGTAACTGACATTTTGCTTACATTATTAATGTTCTTTTTCCCTACCAAGAAGTCTGTCAAGAAATAAAGATAAAAAAATAATCAGAATTTCAAGTTGTCACCAACCAGAAAATAAGTTTAAACAAAACTATTACCCTACTCCCATAAAGTGAATCTACTGCATTATAAATTTTAAAATAATCAAAACTACAAAGCCCTTATTTTTGCAATATTCAGAATAAATGGAATCCAAAAAAATTTACAGCTGAAGTCAAGACTTGCAATCAATTTTCCAGCTTTTTAGTCAGTTTTGGAGTTTACCTTTTTCAATTTATTCTCAAATAAAAAGTGAAGCAATTCTTGTTCTTCTTCTGTACATTGTCTACTGAGAGGTAGAGATTCAAGAAGTTCTTTTTCTATGTGAATTAAAACAAAAATTGAAGTGGTTATATTAAAGGAAAAATAGCAAGATCCAACATTTTAAAAATTCAAAGAATTTTATGATGCTTAACCTGAAACTACAAGGAAGATAACAGTACAGATACACTAAACCAGATAACTACTAATTATGGAAATTAATGATCGAATTCTTAGTTTTTCCTTCTACACTTTTAAATAAAACTCAATAAAGATGACATAACACGCCAGTATTTTTGTTTACTCTACATGTCAAATTTTATCACTCTGAATGCTGTACTAACCAATGCCTACTATAACTAAGCAAGCCCCAATAGGGTGTCATGGATTCAAAGCCTATGAAATCAAGATCACAGGAAAAACATCGTTCAGGCTGGGCAAAGAGCACTAGAGCTTCCCAAACTATCAGGACAGCTGGGTTACTCTGTTTCTTTTAATTCTTAGCACTGCAAGACTGAAAAATAAAATTCAAATGTAACTTCGAGCAGACTATAATTTTCACTCATAACATTTTCTATTCTTAACATTTTGAAATCTGTTACATGGTAGCATTGCTTTAATTTTTATCCAGGAAAAAAGGCATATTGAGAAAACAGTTAAATTTTACTTGTATTTGAAAAATACTGCTATCCAGACCTTCCTGTGCTGTCAGCATATGGTGCGATGTTAAAAGATCAAATGCTTCAAAGCAGTAAACATCAAGCTTCAAGGCCTCTTTGTAGCTGTATGTTGCTAGGGTTCTATTATCCAAAGCATCATAGATCTTCCCGCGCAGAAGGCATATAGAGCTCTTGATCTGGTGGAAAAGCAGGGCTGGAGGTCAAAGACTTAATCAATGTTTGCAATTTGTTTTTGAGCACAAATCAAATGGGCTCCCTGAAAAGTAAAAAGCATTTCAAGTATGATGGAAGCTGGCTTTCTAGTGCTGTCTTTAGATAAAATATTGTCTCTGCTATCTTAACAAAAATAAATTAAATCAGATGAATGTTCTGTCAGGCTATCTACTGCCAAACAAACACACGCCTGAAGTAGAGGTAGTACAGAGTTTACCTTTTCTGCTTCCAACATCCAGCTCTCTGATATTGAATCGTAAGCTCTTTATACTAAATTCCCTCCATATTCAATACAGAGGAATTATTACTTTGAAAAGTGAATTGCTTGTTTGTTTACTATTAAACCACATATTTCATGCAAGACAAGAATGACTGCAGTAGAGATGAAAAAGGCCAAATCAATGTACTCAATTATTTTGATTAGAAAAACATATCCTTCTTTTCAATCCAAAACATGTTTCAGAAACTAAATTAGTGAAAGACCATTATTACCACAGTTAAAGTTGTACTAAGATGTATAATAACATGCTCTTTCAAAACTGCCTAGATGGGTGTTCAGTTCAGCCAAAAGGCCACACAAGTGTCAGAAAGTTACCTGGAGGAAGTTAACACATTACGCATCTATGTTATCAAACTAACCAGACAGACCAACTCTCTCAGGAGTCTGTGTATTAGAAACAGTATAGCTGCAATAAAACTAATAAACCCCTGAGGGCTGCTAAAGTGATAATATTGTTACCAGCTCAGAAAACAGTCACTCTTACTCTGCAACTAGTCTCTGTGCAAACTAAATTAAGTTTGAAAAAGCTACATTCCTAGAGAGGAGTTCAATATGAGATTTCCTGTAGTAGTACCCACTTCTGTAGTTTTCACCTTGGGCAAACCAAACCCATCCTCGCATTAGTGAACTATGTTATCAAAAGTATTTTTGAAGGTAAGGACTGATGAAGTTGGGGGGTTTTGGCTGGGTTATTTTTCAGTCAAAATAGTTTCCCAATGTAGTTCAATAATCCACACCTGGGCCAGAGTACCATGAAACAGGGATAAGATGGTGTAGGAGCAAGGACAAACAGCCAAAACTGAGGACTTCTTCCTTCGCTTGCAGTGGTATCTTTAATGTTCCCATTAATGTGCACCACAGTAACTCAGTCTAATCCACTTCCCCCTTAAGCCCATTAATACCAGCATTCAAAATCAGTTGACATTGATGATTGAACCCATTTTGCTACTTCAGTCTTACAGGGAAAATGCTGTTTGTCAATCACTTTCGCTGTAGTTTTAGCTAATAAACTTCATCTGATAACTCAGAAAGTAAAGACTCTTCATAGACTCTTCAGCCTACACGTGGTACTGATTGCTTTTAACTGTCTGCCTATACAGAATTTTCACTGAGCTTCAAAAACTTCACCTTCATGTTACATCATTTTCAAGTGTGATCAAAAAATGTCCCACTGAGAACACACTTGAGTGATTAAGGAAATATCTCATTAAAAATATCTAGAGAAGAAAACTTGCTTTTTTATCTCAGAACCTGCAGCCCAATTGAAAGAAGTGTTAGTTTACATTACCAAGACTGAAATTGCAGCTTATAGCTAAAAGACTCTAAAAACCAATGCTAGATCATGAACTTCCTGCAAAGTGTCTGAAAACAATTTATGGGAAGTTGCTGAAAAGCACTCTTCATTTTTGCAAGCCAAGTTACTTTCATACAGGCAAGCTAACATATGACTTCTGACTGAAAGGAGAACAATTCAGCATTTTAAAAAATTATGTTATCCAAACTAGAAAGCTTAAACACATAGAGTTTCAGATTCATACAGCTGCAGAATCACTTTCTGTCTTCACAAATTTTTTCCAGTTATAAAAATATTTGCTTAAAATGTCACTTACAGAGGATTGTGACATCTCCCACTCTGTGGCAGAGTCTTTCAGTCCAGTTTCATCCTTCAAGTACTTTTCAAAAAGTCTTTTGTTGATTGGCTCTTCCATATCAAGAATATCCAAGGCCTGTTGATGTTCTTTGGCAGCATACTAGCCAAACATGTGCATGTAAAAAAACAAGGTTGGGATTTGAAACATCTGTACATAAAGCACCAATAAACAGTGTCACATTTCAAAGGTACAGATTATAACAACCAGTGCTCATCAGCAGGTTTTTCATGCACACATGTTCTTACTTAGACATATGTAATTTCCCAACTGCAGCCAACTGTTTTACTAGTCATCTATAATAAGCAAAAAAAATTATAAAAGTAACACCTACAGAAAAATTTATTATTCAGCATTACGGAATCATAGAGGCAGATACGCTTCTAAAAGTAGTTAATACAAGTTTTAACAAAAACCAATCATTCTATAAGCAGTACATTATTCTATTTCAAATTTCTATATTTAATCTACCAGTTGATTCAGTTATTCTGTGAAAGCACTACACTTTACTATTTAAGTACCACATTTTATACAGAGTTATAAAGCTGCTAACTATATTTATACAACCATAAATCACATCTCCTCTGGTCATACTACAACCAATTAAAAACGTAATTAAGAGACACAAATGGTTCACATTGTCTCCCCACAAAATATTAGAGAAGTATTTTCTTTCCTGGAAGAAAAGTTTGGTTGGGTTTCTTTAGAATAAGGCCAAATGCCGGGGGCTGCCCTTGGGCCACAACAACCCCCAGCAGCGCTACAGGCTTGGGGAGGAGTGGCTGGAGAGCTGCCAGTCAGAGAGGGACCTGGGGGGGTTGATTGACAGCCGGCTGAACAGGAGCCAGCAGTGTGCCCAGGGGGCCAAGAAGGCCAATGGCATCCTGGCTTGTGTCAGCAATAGCGTGGCCAGCAGGGACAGGGAAAGGATCTTACCCCTGGACTCGGCACTGGTGAGACCGCACCTCGATTCCTGTGTTCAGTTTTGGGCCCCTCACTACAAAAAGGACATTGAATGACTCGAGCGTGTCCAGAGAAGGACAATGAAGCTGGTGCAGGGTCTGGAGCACAGGTCATACGGGGAGCGGCTGAGGGAACTGGGGGTGTTTAGTCTGGTGAGGAGGAGGCTGAGGGGAGACCTCATCACCCTCTACAGCTGCCTGAAAGGAGGTTGCAGAGAGCTGGGGACGAGTGTCTTTAATCAAATTAATAAACGACAGGACAAGTGGGAATGGCCTCAAGTTGCACCAGGGAAGGTTTAGACTGGATATTAGGAAGCATTTCTTTACAGAACAGGTTGTTAGGTGTTGGAATGGGCTGCCCAGGGAGGTGGTGGAGTTCCCATCCCTGGAGGTGTTTAACAGTAGGGTCGACACAGCGCTTAGGGATCTGGTGTAGTTGGGAACTGTCAGTGTGAGGTTAATGGTTGGACTGGATGATCGTCAAGGTCTATTCCAACCTAGATGATTCTGTGATTCTGTAACAGTACCACAATGGATAGTCCAGTGACAATACCAAAGGTTAAAGAATTAAATCAACTATCACAGAATTCAACCCTGTTATTCCAAAGAACACAGATATCTACACTGTCTGTCAGGTACCTAATCTTCACAAGATGCATCTTTTATTTAGTTTGGTTTGTTTCCAATAGAGGTTAAAATGTGTACTCACATGACATCTAGCTGCAAGGTAGCGACATGCTTCATATAACTGAAAGAGAAGTTCCATACATATTAGTTACAAAGAGAGAGTATGTTTACCTATGCCGCTAGACTCCATTGTGCTCTCTCCTTTTTCAGTTGTATGACTTCATCAGCCTTTTCACCTCCAAAAAATCTTTCCTGACCAAAATTACTAAGTCTGTAACACTTCCTGTACTATTAAACTCTCAAAGGACACTTGCTTCATTCTTGCCTTCAGAGTGGAAGGACAATTTAAACAACTACACTTGAAGTGACACTCCACCTTCCTATACCTGCTATAGTCACAATCCTTGGACCCCTTCTCTTTTCTGTGACCTATCTGGGGACAACAGTTTCAATCTGGCCTATTGGACACAGGGCTATACTTGGTTCACATAACTGCATCATGCAAATTTTTTAATTACTTCTCCATAAACCTTATTCTCTGATGGTGAAGAAATCACTGTGGTTAGCAGCAGAGGTTTAAAAGTGGAATAACAGTAGTTTAGTCTTCAACTAAAATGACTTACCTTATCCAACTTACGTGATCGAAGGGCATGTGCTGCCCTATGATACTGAGCTGTTAGGTAAAGACATTGGGCCAACCAGTAGATATCTTGTGGTTCTTCTAAAATAAAGGAACAAATTATAAACAATTAATTTATAATATATTTTTAACACTTTCATACAGAATATTCACTTCTGTTTCACTAGAAAAGTGTTTTTCCCCTACTCTAGCATCCTACTTAATTATAAAGTTGGGGGGGGGTGTTTAATACATACATATGTAAAAACAATTCATAATATCTATCAGTGAGAAATTAAAAAGAAAAAATAATCAGATTCTAATTTTAAAGACATCAGATAGTGCACTGGACAGTGAATACAAAAAATCTCATACTAGAGGTGTGTCATGAGAAGGAGACAACAGTGATACACATCTAAAAGAAAGTAGCAGTTGTAAGTTACCCTGCCCTTGGACACAGGGCACAAAAAAAGAACCCAGAATTGTCTCTCAAAAAAGATCAGTGGGAACCTAACAACAGTGAAAGTGAAAGCATAAGACTTCTGCAGCTTGAAGTTATGATTGCAGAAGCATAATTTAGTACTCTCCTACTTTATTGGCAACTGAAGTTTTTGTGGGATCAATCCTCTAGAATCAGTTTAAGAAGGTAAATGGACCATGGCTGTGGTCAGACACAGGCTACCAGCATCAATTACCTCTGTAAACCTGCGTTCTACCTGTCACCTAGCGCAACAGTGAATCCTGTAGGAGTCCACCGCTGTCTCTCGTAGCTCTGGGTTTTTTTGTTGTGTGTGTCTCTTAAGGCAGGCAAAGCTTCAGGTTTGGCCAAACATTAATTTTAACACAAGTTCAAAAGGGAAGGAAGATTGGCCCTGCTCTATTTGGCAAAATTGGAAAATCACTTAACCAAACTCAAAACTTCACCATTTAGCCACACATCTTAAAAGCCAACAAAACAAACCCAGAACACTATCAGAAAGAAGTTAATCAAAAACAATGCAAAAAGTAAATACTTACCATGAGACAGCGAAGCTACTTTGTCTGCCCAAAATAGGGCACTTTGATACTGCTGCTGTAAAAGCACAATAGAAATAGTTAGTATTTATTTGGGGTTAGCTTTCCTGGATCCTTTTGAAATATATTGTACGTCATTCACATTTAACATCTTACGTGTGTAGTCTCTAACAAATGGTGATTCCATCTGAGATCTTTGTAAGTTGAAAAAAGTTTAAAAGGGACAGTACTGTAACTTCTAAAGGATATCAAAAAGTAATTCAAGATGGGGTTGTTCATTTATTTTCAGTAAAATGCAGGTATCTTTGACCAAAAGGTATGTGCTACGTAAGTATGGCAACAGGTCATTAGTTGATTTGCTGTCACTGAAAAGGTAGCAAGAATCTCCCCCTCCCTCGATTAAAATAAATGATGCCATTTTAGAAGAAAGAGAATACTATATAAAAAAAGAACATATAAATTACTTCAGGAAACTTCAGCAGCACCATCTCTGATTAAGAATTTTTCATTCTCCAGTTAAGATACTTTAACCTCATACAAACCATAGTGCCTATATTAATTGCCCCTTATTCTTGAATACAGAGTTTCACAGTGTTAGGTCTGCAGTTCAGGAGAGGCAGGTGACACAAGAGAAGACTGGTGGTAACTTGATACGTGACGGAAGCAGAGTTTGCAGGTATATCCCACTAACTGTGCTAAGGCTGCCATCAGATTTGGGGTGCTAGGCAAAACCTCAGAGAAGATCAGCAGGGGCTACTGCTTTTCCTTTTTATCCTTCTAAGGCATAATATGCTTCCCAGGATCTGCTGGACATTTAACAGATATCCTGCAATTGCAAGGACTTGCAGCATTAGAAAACCCTTGATCACTTCTACTCTTTCCTACATCATTACAGTTGTGGAGATTGTTTACAATCTTAGAGACTGTTTTATGCTTTTGGACACAGACTTTTTTGAAATGCACACTGTGGTATTCTAGTCTTCACAAAGCACTACACTGCATGACCTAAGTGGTCTCTTCTACCCCATGTTTAAGAATGCCCAGCAAATTTGCCAAGAGAATATTCTGGTTTCAATCTGCCCTCCAAGAAAAAAAAAAAAAAACTAAAAACAAAACCCCACCAAAAAACCCCAACCAAAACTCCACATGTGTAATAACTGTCTACAAGAACTGAGGTCTAAATAAATCTCTCAACACCATGAAAGAAAGGCATAATCCAGGCCTACAGAGCACTATACAACTTCTGTTGAGCAGTTCTACAGTACCAAAAGCTGACTATAGTACACAAAAAAGCAGTCTTGTGTTCCTCCTGATGCTCTGTCCTCAGAGCTGCACAAGTGTCTCCGTAGCAGCTTAATTCAAACGTGTACTGTAAAAACAATAAAATCTACCAAATTAACTTAGGTCCCAATCAATCTTCTGGTCAGGCTTGCTAGCAACAAATGTTTGTGCTAACTGAAGAGATGGGTTTCTCTCAGTAGCGATGCCCATATGAAAACTCTGAACTAGAAACAGAGCAGAGTAATTTCATGCCATACTTAATCTAATTTATGAATGCATTTTTCCTGTTGTGGGTTGTTTGTTTTTTTTTTTGTTCCCTGCAGCAAGACAATTGCTGAATCCATCAACAAACGAAAACAAGCCTGCCCTCTAATAGCAGCCTACAGTGCCGTACGTTAGTTTGATGGGCATCTATAATCACCAGGTAAGTACGGCCCAACTTGCACAACCCGTGCGGGCGGGATCCTGCAGATGTGCCTTCGCTACACAGCAGCCCTACCGCTCCCACAGCGGGCTTCCCTCTTCCTCCAAACGAGGAGAACACCACGAACATGCCCCCGTCACGCTACGAGGAGGCCACACGCCCCAGCTCCCGGCGGAGACCGCACAGGCGCCGCCTCCGGCCCACCGCACCCCCACCCCCCC